CCCCCTCCCCCTCTCCCACCCGCCCCTCCGATGGACAGGCGGCGCGTCGCTGCTTCTGCCGCTGGGTGAGCGGGCGCCATAAAGGGATGCCGTTCAGGCCACACACAACGGATGATGCATGCGCGCTGTGTTGCGTTGCGTTGCAGGTCTGTCGATGCTGGCGATGGGAGTGAGCAGCTGGTGAACGAGCTATGTCGACAGATGGAGGACCGAGACCGACAGGCCAAGCAGCGGGAGGAGGCGCTGATGCGGCAGCTGCAAGAAGCACAGCGGAAGTGAGCCTATCGACGAAACGGGCCAGTCGCGACACCCATCCATCAATCTGTCTGCCGTGTGGTTGTCCATCAGGCTTGCCCAGATGAGTGTCCAGCAGCAGCAGCCCAGCTCGTCGTCATCCAGTAGCGCCCCCGCAGCAGGCAGGCGGCAGCAGCAGCAACAGCCATCAGCGCAGCAACTACATGAGGGAGATCTTGAGGATTGCGACATCTGCTTCGGCGAGCATGGCGTCGCTTCGGTCATGTACATGCCCTGCAAGCACCTCCGGCTGTGCCCCCACTGCTATGAGGACCGCAAGATCAAGTGGCAGCGAGACCTCGAGGAGGCCAAGACGGAGAATGCTCGCCGTCGTGAGGAGAATGAGGGCATCGAGAGACTGAATGAGGGCCGCAAGAAGGAGGACAGGATCCCGCTGCTGGACATGGTTGACGAGCCAGACTACCTGTGCGAGCACTGCAAAGAAAAGGTGGCTTTTGCCGGGTCGAGGGAGGAGGTTATGCGCTGGGCTGCCCAGCCGTTCCTCTAATCCAGCACTGCAGCGCGAGCACTGCATGTGCAGATTGATGAATCGCTGGGGAGGGCGCCGCTAAGGGCGGTGCAAGTGTGGGGTGTGAGATTGTGCGAGATTGTGTAACTTCTTTTGCCTGGATGAGGCAGTTTGAGACACGAATCATGATGCGTATCTAGGTCTTTGTGTAGACATGCCTGTGAAGACATGTGCATGCGCCCAACCAGACCATAAGGGCTTCTCTGAATAAACGTCTCGCACAGGGACTTTCCCCCTTCATGTATGTAAGAGCGCGTCCGGTCGCTCAGACAGACAGACCGAGTGGCAGACAGACACACCGACAGACAGACAGAGTGTTGGGTGGATGGACGGTTCATCCATTGGCATTAGTTGCTTGTACGGCCAGACCATCCAGCCAAATGTAAACACCCTGGAAGGAACAAAACCGTTGGGCCGGCGGCAAGATGTAGTCGTGGCTCTCTGTTGACCATTTGGACATCAGGTCAGCCTCAAATCCTCGCACAGGTCTCTTGTTCCTTCATTTCCCCTCATTTTGTTTTTCTGTTGCAGACGCGTGCCGGTCAGATGTCCGAGGAGCCCCGCCGTCACACCGTATGGGACCAGGAGTGGGAGCCTGCACTGGAAGACCCTCATTCTCGCCGCCTGAGGGAGCTGCTCGAGCCCCAGGGCTGCTCCAAGGTCGGTGTCCGCAGCGAGGGTGGCGACGATGCTGCCACCATGGAGCTGGCGGCCCGAGCCGTCTGCCGCACCATCACATCGGCTGAGGACGTCACTCGTCTGTGTCAAGAGGGGGCCGACGCGGACCTGGGTCTTCAGCTGCACCTGTCGTCGTGCCGTCTGACGCCCATGGGGTTGCTGTCCTTGGTCATCGACGACGTGGTCAACGGGCGTATCGATGACGATGACGATGACGATGTCGTGGGTGAGGAGATCACGGACGTTACCCTCCCTCCGTGGCCATCCCATGAGCTGCAGCAGGCGGTGCTCGAAGCACTCATAGCGGCCGGGGCCAATCCCAACGGTCGGCCGGATGAAAAAGGCCGGCCTCTGCATCGGACCCGCTTGTGTGCCAACGTCACGGCCGTCGACGTGCTGCTCAGGGCTGGTGCGGTGACCCACGGGCTGCACCTGGCTTTTTGGCCATGTCTTCCGTCCCCTCCGTCCCCCCAGTACGAGACCGACCTGCTGAATGTGTACCGTCGTATGCTCGAGCACGACCCGGCGCTTGTAAGCGAGACGGGGGGCGAGAGGCAGGGCACCCCCATCCACAATGCCGGAGCGGCGGAGAGCGTCATGTCGCGTGACTTCATATGCGCCTACCTCGACCTGCTGGCCCAACACGGCGCCTCCCTCACAGCCAGGGATGCATACGGCAACACGCCCCTCGGCACCGCCGTCCTTGCGGGTGCGCCTTGTGTGGTGGAGTGGCTGTGCGAGCGGCTCGGGAAGGAGGAGATCAACAACACAAAAGCAGAGGGCAACATGATCTCGGTGCTTGAGCTTGCGGGCTGTTGTTTGACCGGTCGTCGCCAGAAAGCCAAGGCGGAACCAGAGAAGCTCGACAAGGCCAAGCAGGTGGTCCGCACACTGCTGCGGCACGGTGCGGACATCCAGCTGGTGCGGACCACACCGGCCCTTCGCTACATCCGCAAACTCGTGCAGGACATCCACAAGGACATGCAAAAGCCGAGCGCCCCACCGCAGCAGCAGCAGAAGGACAGTGGTGCCGCCATGGCCGCCAAGATGGCCGAGGAGCTGATAGCTGAGGAGGCGAGGGAGAAGGCCAAGAAGGCCAAGAGAGGCGGCAAGATCGGTGGACACCAGCAGCAGCAACAGCGCGAGCAGCAGCAGCGGCCAGTGTCCATCGAGCTTGAAGCGATTGAGGACGACGAGGCACCCGACAGCAGGTGGGATCACCCATACACTCGCGAGTGGCCATCAGATGTGCAGAGATGATTTGTGTTCTGTGTGTGTCATTCCTTAGTGTGGCCACTGGTGCGGTCGAGACCGACGCAGACGAGCAGCCGCCCTCTACTCCATCTGCCGACCCCCAACCGTAACCACACACAGCCACAGTGAAGACGGCCTCATTGCCTCACTGACACCGTCTCTCCCTCTCCCTCCCTCTCTCTCTGTGTGCAGTGCTGCCCCTTCACCGTCGTGTGATGTTTCGTCTGCCGTCCCTGCCCCCGCCACCTCGTCTGTCGATCGTGAGGAAAGCGACGCAGAGTTCGTGACCGTCGTCCGAAAGAAAAACAAGAAGGCACGTTCACACCTCCAGCCAGACCAACAAGAGCCGGCATCCACACGCCAGCATGCACCTGTGACCCATACACAGCCGCTCAAGTAAGCCGAATTTCATATGCGCATTGCTGCCCACTCTAAGTGCACAGTGTGTGTGTGGTCTTCTCTCTATCCGTTGTGTTGGTGCAGTATCAGTGGTCTGCCTTTCACGTCTGCTGCACGGCGGCCCCCTGCCGGCCGTGGACTGGATACTAACATGCCCACCCAAACACGCGCACACCGGTACGCACAGACAGACAGACAGACAGAGACACATTCACTCATCGTGTGTGTGTATCGTGTTTGTGTGTCAGCGGCCCCCCGCCCCTCGTCCCAATGGCTGCTATGCCGCCGTCCATCGGCTCCTCTCCATTGCCTCCCCGACCGCAGCAGCCCCCTCCCCCCGGGCTTGTCCGCCCACTCGCCAACACGGCATTGGCACAGCGGACGTCCGTATCGGCCGGCAGCAGCTCACAGGCAGCGGATGGACAGAGAGGACGCTGTGGCGGGGGAGAGAGCGGAGTTGGGACGGACAGTGCTGCTGCTGCCGAGCATCTGGTGGGTCAGCTCCGCCGACAACTGAGCCAAAAGGATCAGGAGAACGACGCGCTGATACGGCAGCTGCAAGAAGCACAGTGGAAGTGAGCCAATCGACATGAGACCGACATCCATCCATCCACATGTCTCTTCGTGTATGAATGCCATCTTATTCTCCTCAGGCTTGTCCAGTCGAGTCACCACCTGCAGCAGCAGCACCAGCAGGCCAGCAGTGATACCACACCGGCTGCAGCTGACGACGGTTTGAAGTGCGACGTCTGCATGGCCGACTACAAGTCCACTCTACTCGTCCCATGTGTAAGCACAACAGTGTCACGCCGTGCTGCCGTCATTATTACATGTCTGTTTGGTATCCGTGTGTGCATGCAGCGCCACATCTGTCTGTGTGGTGGGTGTGCTGGCGTGTTGATGAGCGGCCCCCCGGCCGACCGCCTGTGCCCGAGATGCCGACAGCCCATCACAGACACTCAGCAGGTGTACTTGTGAGTGAATTCGGGGGGCGGGGGGGAGGGACAGGGGGGACGGGGGAGGGGAGAATGCTCTCTTTGTGGCTGTAGGGGATCTCATGTCTCAGTTGTGCCTTCTGTATTTGTCATGTCGCAGCGTAGACGTGCATAACGCCGTATTTATGCCCTCTGTATGTATTTGTGGGTATCGGACAACTCAAGTCTTTCTGTGTGTACCAGACAGAGTACTAGGGTGATTTAGTCGGGCGGCGAATTAGCCCAGCCTGATTCTGTGCGACATGGTACAGTTAGGTAGATAGCTATAGAGAGCAGGTCAAGGCCTTGGATCTTGGCACTTGAAACGCGTCGACATAAATGTCATGCCGCTGAATGAGTCATGACGCCCTCAGCTCGTTATCATCGATGGGGCAAAGGGTGATGAGTTCGATCTAACGGCTTCGGCCGTTTTTTCTCGACCCATGCGCGCTTCAGTTCTCCCTTTTGCTCCCACTTCACCATTGCCAAAATGGCAGGTAAGTGAACGAACATCACCTTTGACCTCTCATACACCCCTGTATGGCTTCGTTTTCCTTTCCCCCGTCGCCCCCCCTCGCACAACACCATATGGATGACACAGCGGTGTCGCCCCCTCACGCCAAGACTCCACCCAACACGATGGCCCTCAGCGCACAGAACATGATGAACACGGTCATGGCAACCAGACGAGGGATAACACACACGTGCAGGGGCGGCAACACTCGTGTGTATCGCTTGTGTTGTTCTGGTCGGACAGACACGCACGAGTCAGGGGGGCACTGGGCTGAAGGGCAAACTGGCGTCCCTGGAGGTGGGTCGACGGAGAGAGAAGAGACCGAAGTGCATGGCCTGCCCCTGCATGTGGTGTGCATTCGATGTGTGGGTGCATGCAATCTCAATGCAGGAGTACATCAGTGTGCAGAATGAGGAGCTGGCTGCCCAACGACAGGAGATTGAGGCATTACGAGCCGACAAACAAAACCTTGAAGTCAGCAGCAGACCGACCATGCACACACAAGGGACAAATCATGGCGCTCCATCTCTCTCTCTCTATATCTCTCTCTCTGCTGTTTGTGTGTGTGTGTGTGCCAGCATCATTATCACAGTCAACTGTTGGAGCTCAAGAAGGCCATGTCGGGCGACATCGCCAGGCTGCAAGAAGAGATCAAAAAACACCTCGGACAGCAGAAAGCCGAGAACTCGCGGCTCCAGCAGCAGGTAAGTACCAGGGCAGCCCCCCTCTGTTCGTCTGAGTGTTGCAACCGCTCACATTAGGGTGTGGTGTAGGTGACGACATTGAAGGGCGAGAAGACGTCTCTGTGTCAGCAGATCTTGGGGCTGCAGCGGCGCCTGCAGGACATAGAGGAGGCCATCGGCTGCGAATGAGATAAACAGCACACAGCCAGCCTCGCCTCTCCCCTGTCTCTCTGGTTGGTTGGCTGGCTTGTGGGGTCACTGAACTGAACTCTGGTCTGCTTTTGCTGCCTTACTCTCTTTGTGGTGTGGTGTGGCGTTGCTGACCGCTGGCTTCCCTCGGCGGATCTGCGACAGCAGTTTTGGCAAGAATAGACATCTATACTGTAATGAACAGACCGACGTGCGCATGGCATGGCGTGGCATCTGCAGAGAGACAGACAGACGGACCCATACATCACCTAAAGGGCCGTGTGGACAGGGAGGAAAGAGTCAGCACGGACCCAGGCAGGCATGCAGGCAGGCGATTGAGCTATCAAGTAATGAAAGCGCATTCAGTAACGCAACGCATCAAGCCCCAGCAGCATGATGCACAGACAGACAGACAGACAGAGACATGGCTGGAACAAGTGTCAGCAGGACCCCGAAAGGCATGGCAGAAGACCACCGGAAGACCGGCCAGGCCTCATTGCAGCAGAGGTTGAGGCAGGGTCCCACTGCTTACCCTGACAAGAGATGGGAGGGCGGGCGAGGAACGAACCAGACTCATGTGTGCGCCGGGAATGGTGCCGATGAACACGATCAACGGCAACGCGCCATTGGGCAGGGCGGCATTGGATGAAGGCCGCATAACCGTCTGCAGATGCACACATCTCGCGTAGTGATGATGGGGGGTGGGTGTGGGTGGGGGGAAGGTTCCGATATGGCTGCCGCAGACGGGCGAGTAGACAAGCAGTCAGATTAAGGGAGAGGGAGGCAGGGAAGAAGAAAGTTCACACGATGCCGAGTGTCCAGCCAGGTACATGTAACACACACACACACAGGGAGACAGACAGGCTTACAACACACGAGCACCCGATGCACCACCACCACCACCGCCACCATCAGAAGAACCACAACAAACGCTGATGTACATCTGTACGTGTATGTGTGTGTCGATGTCTGCAGGCCGGCCGCCCACGCAATGGCCCGCCGTCGCAGCTAGCCATTCATGAGATGGGATGAGATGGGGTGGGACGATCGAATTGCCAGAGGAGTATTAGGCAGGCAGACAGAGGGAGAGAGCGCGAGCGAGGAAGAACTGAGTCAGTCAGTCACCTACACCTACCGACGCCATGCCACCAATGCACACAAGACCGGCAGGCAGGCAGACAGGCCGGCAGGTCGACAGGCCAGGCACCCCACCGCACCGCGCACACATTCTAGGCAAAAATTACAAGCACAGCGGGACGCAGAAGGACTCCGTCCGTCCGTCCGTCCGTCGACAGGCGAGACAAGCTGGCGCCGCGCATACGTCCACACGCACACCCACTGCACATGCACTGCACAAAAACCCCTCTCACCACCACACACACCACACACGTCAAGTACGTGCCTCGCCCCGACGGATAACTGTGGCGGGCAGGTGCCTCCAGGCTAGCCCCACATTCGTGTGCCTTTGTCTGTCTCGTTCGCTTCTCTTCTCCCTGTGTGTGTGTGCGGCCAAGCAGCTTGATTGGTTCAAAGCGCAACAAACCACCACCACCACCAAAGAAAGACAGTTCTAAAGAAACAGAAGAGGAAACACACCTACGGACCACAGCCGCCAACGGAACAAACACACCACACCGCAAGCCCTGTTTACTCACTGACTGCCACTGCTTCTCATGCCACCCACTGCCTCTCTGCTCTGTCCGCGTCATGTCACTCACCTTCTGTCGACTTCATCAACGCCGAAGCCGCCACGTGCGATCTGCCGTGCTGACCTCGATTCAGCACAGATCGGACGTGGCGGCCACGATACAGACGAACGCGACAGCAGAGCGAAAAGAATCTTCACGGACGGTTGGTTGTCATGACTTTAATGCATTGCTGGCTGGCTGCCCGTTCGCTACCGTTCGGTCTCTCCCGTCCTTCTGTGCCACCTGCACAGCCACGGTAGCCGATTGATGCCGGTGGGATGGCTCAATCTGCCGCGTGTCAGTGCCATTGGACACAGAAAGACGGCAGATGACGCAAAAGCGAAAACCGGCCGTTTATCTTTCCCTTGTCTGTCACGGACCTGTCTCCCCCTCTCTCTCTGTGTCTTGCCTGCCTGCCTGCCTGCCTGTTTTGCTGTCTGCCGGTCACCCATTCATTCATCCGTCCACACACAGTCTCTACAAAAAATGCGACGCTTTGACGTACGCGCGCATCTACCGGCAGACAGACAGACAGACGGAACTCTGACACCACACACACACGCCACGCCAAAATGGGCGTGCCGTGTGTGCGTGTCTCTCTCTCTGATTCTTATTCTGAGGCATTCAGGAAGGTTGGCAAGGTTGTGCATCTGTCCGTGTGTGTGTGTGTGTGTGTGGCGAGCACTCATATCCATCGTATCGTTGATCTAAAAAAAGTTGAGAGTAGTGGCGCACACGTACACCCACACCACACCACACCACACACCCATCCCATGGGGTATGGCTGTCCATCGAGAGAGACACAACTGAGTCAGTCAGGCACTCAAGTCAGGCGCAGGGTGTTGGGTGACAAATAAACACACACACACAGACACACACACACACACACACATCGAATCGATCAACAAACATACACACAATCACACACTCGTCACGTACGCGCACACACAAACAAAGCCATCCGCCCGTCCACCATGCACGCACGGCACGTCAGGCCAGGTGTCCTCTGAGTGCGTGCATGGCGGCCCTGACGTGCTGCAGAGCTACGTGGTCGAAAGATCGCCCGTATGACACCGTCGACTCGAGATCACTGAAGGAATGGTGGGCAGACACACACACACCAGACGCACACGCGGATGGGATGGGATGGGTGGCTCAATGTCTGAGTGTGTGTGTGTGTGTTACCGGATGCTTGTGTGGAGTGATTCCAGGAGGTTGGACTCCACATAAGGGGCTTTGCAGAGGTCCCTGATGGCCTTGGCCATCTCCCGCACGACCACCGGCGGCTCCAGCTCGGCCACCCCGCCCACACCCCCCACACAGACGTCCGTGTACATGCTGCTGCTGCTCGTGTGAAAGGACGCCGCCTGCACATACACACACACACAGAGAGAGGAGAAAGTGGTGTGCCCGTTTGTTTGCCCTTCTCTCTCTGTCTCTCTCTGTCTGACCATCATTGTGCTGGTAATGGTCTCCTGTGTGAACGAGGTCCGCGTGACAGTGGTGGTGGTGGTGTGGGTGTGGTGGGTGGACTGCGCCGCGGCGGTGTAGAGTGCGGGCGCCGACTGGACGGTGTGAGTGCTCTTCTTGAGCAGCGACACGAGGGTGTCCGCCAAACCGCAGGACAGCAGCTCTTGCGAGTACTCTGTCATAACACATTGACACACACACACACACACCCAGATGCATCTTTGTTTGTGTGTGGTAAGGCATCGACCGCTGCGTACGTACCTGTCGCCAGGTTATTGACGGCGGCGACCAGTGGGTAGACGACCGTCAGCGGCATCGCACCCACCTGCAGCATTGCAGACACCCACACACATGAGGGAGGGAGGGAGGGAGGGAGGGAAGAATGCAATGCATTGCGAGGACGGCTGTAGTGTGTGTGTGTGTGTGTGTGTGCAGGTCGTTACGTGTGTGTCGTGGTATGAGTCGAGCGCTCTCTTGAGCTTAGACAGGGCATCAGGCGACGCGAGCAGGGACTTACTCAACCCTGCAAGTGAACAAACAGCAGACACCCGACAGACACAGGCATGTGTGTGTCTGTGTGTGTGTGTCTGGTGGTGGGGTGGAGGGGAGGGCGTACAGTGCGCAGACGACTGGGCGATGAGCGCCGCGCCCTCCTCCATGTCGCTAGGGCTACCCGAACACAGCTTCTCAAGCTGACACACATGACATGACAGAGAGCCATGTCTTTCGCTTCTTGGCCTGCTTGTCTCGTGCCTACCCCCGGGTGTGACTCAGGTTCCTTCAAACCCTCTTTAAGCAAATTCATGGAAGCGACTCTGACATAAGGAGAGAGGAAGGAACCAAGACACAAAGGGATGCGTGTGTGCTGTGTGGTGTGGTGTGTTGTGGTTGGTGTGGTTGGTGTGGGTGCGTACGAAGGGCTGCTGGTGGGTGTGGAGGTTGAGGACAGGTCGGACGGCACGGCCGTCGACTGCTCCAGCTCCTCGTACATGGCACCTGCACACACAAGAACAAGACACACACACGGGAGAAAAACAGACAAACAGACAGAGAGACATCCGCACGTGTGAAGGTGCTCGAGAGCCACTTCACTTGACTTCACTTGACGGGCTTACGTTCGACCTCCTCGATGTCGACCTTGCCCCAGAAGTCCCCGCCCTCGATGCCGCCGAACCCGCCCTCGATGGCCATGCCCATGCCCATGCCGACACACACGTCCATCTCTGATGTCGCCTGGGTGGTCTGTGTGCCCTGCGCCTCCTCGTGCTGCAGCTGCACGGCCGATGGGGCGTCGAGCGGTGCAGTGGCCTGCAGGAGGCCCGCAATCTCCCGCCACACACGGAGGAAGAGCACAGGGTCACCTGACACACACACACACAGAGAGAGAGAGAGAGAGAGATAGATGGAGGCAACGTGTGTGTGCTGGGTGTGCGGGCGCGGCAAACGTACCTGAGATTCTCTGTATCTCGGCGACGACCACGTCTGAGTCTTTGGTGTCGGTTTTGCTCATATCTGATTTGTCTAAGTCAGTGTGTGAGTCTTCATGGCCATCATGGCCGCTGGTCTGGCAGGTCGATGGGTAGAAGGCCAGACACAGCACAAGGGGCAGGAAGTCAACAAACACTAGAGACGTCAGCTGACAGAGAGAGAGAGAGACACACACGGAGAGACAGATGCATCCATAGGGGGCCCTGTGTGTGTGTGTGTGTGTGTGTCAGGGGTACGCACCTGCAAGTGTTTGGCGTGGCATTTGATCATGGCGCAGTAGTCGCCCGCACCCTGGTCGTGGCTACGGTACAAGTGATCAGCTACCTGCAGCCACACAACACATCACAACACATCACAACACATCACAACACATCACAACACACACCCACACCAGCAACCCACTCACTGACTCACCTTATTCGCCAGCAGGTATTCGTCGACGCCGCTCTCCCGGGCCAGTCGGCACTTGACGGTGTGGCCAGGGAGCAGCGGGAACCCAGCACCACCCACACGCGACGATGGCAACGCACACAGAGTGTCTGATGGATGGATGGATGGATCGATAGATGGATGGACGCACAGACACAGACAGAGGGAGGTGGGTGTGGGGGTCGCGTGTTTGCTGGTGTGGCTCGTGTGTGGGTGTGGGTGTGGTTGTGTGTGCGTACGGGTGTCTTTCTTGAATCGTTGTGTCACGCCGCTCCCTGCTGCAGCAGAGGGGGCGCCTGCCGGGTCGTCTTTGCCCTGCCAGAACGAGTAGCCTGTACCTGACGCATAAATGGGCAGACAGATGTCCGTCTGTGTGTGTGGGTATGTATCTGTGTGTGCGACATGACTGACGCACCAGTCTGCCCTTCACTGACTCCCCGCTGCACAATGTCACGCTTAGCCTTGCTCGCCAAGGACAGGGGATCAGTGCTGCACAACACATTCACACACAGCACACCACAGTGCATCACACGTGACTGAGGGAGAGCACAGGCCACCAGAGAGAGGGAGGCACACACACTGTACCTGTGTCTCATGTGCGGGACGTCGCTGAGATACTCGTACCCGTAGCCCTCGCTCGCCAACGACGGGCCGCACACACACTCGCCAGACGGACGACGGAGCTTCCCTGTAGGCCAACAGACGTGATGAGACAGACACACACAGATGCAGGATGTGCCAACACGCTGAGAGGGAGAGGGAGGGGTCTAGACACGGACACGCACCATGAGCATGAGGGTGGTCGGCAGCAAAGGCCAGCAGATTGGTGGGCGCAGCAGTCGCAGCCACACCCCTTCATCCACGACATACACACAGCCAGACACAGGAAGGCACAGCCAGGCGCACATACACACACACAGCCAAAGACAGCCAAGCCACGGTCAGTCACCGAATACTCGTGTGTGCGTTATCCCCATCCCCCCACCCAAGCCCCCAGCCCTCACTAACACACACCTGGTTATGTCTTTTCTGCCGGCATAAGGGTCGCCCATGAGCATGACGCCGTGAGCACCACTGCCCCCGGCCATCTGCTGCATGGCGGGGTGCATCACGCCGCCGACGCCACCGCCGATGCCCAGGGGACACTCGAAGCCGTCCTTGTCTGCGAACTTGTCCGCGAAGCCGCCAGGAGGTGAAGGCCTGATGACGAGCAGCAACCGACACAGCACAGCACACAGAGGGAGAGGAGAGATGAGTATCGGTGACCGTGTGTCACCGTGTGTGTGTGTGTGTCCATTCGGCGCGGCGCGTACCCATATCGCCCGGCAGCGGCACGGTCGTCACTCTCACCACCAGGACCACCGGCGCCCAACCCAGTGGTCGTCACGTCCAGCCGGTTCAGCACGCGCTCGAAGGAGGCCGATGCGTCCTGAGCTGCACGCTGCATGCTAATGTGGCTATGCCGATAAAGAACAAGGTAGAGGAAGAGGTAGAGGTAGAGGTAGATCAGACAAGGTAAGATACTGCTGTAGCTGTACACAAGCGGGGGTAAGGATGATGGGTCTGGTTGTTGTTGCTGTTGTAGAAGGGGGAGGTGGGGGAAGGGGAAGGGGCAATAAGGATCCGAACACGACACGACACGAACGAACACACGACAGGCCGTCTGTTCCGTCGGTTTGTTCAGATGGCGTCGTAGTGGGCGTCAGCCGCGAGGTAGAACGTCATGCTGATATCGCCGTGGTTGTGGGGAAGCCAGGAGCGGCAAGAGGGAGGGAGGGGAAGATTCGCACCAGCACCGGTAGCAACAGCAACAGCGACTCGTTCTGTCTTCGACTGTACACTCGACACAGGACACCTCGCGCAGTCAGTACTGGCAACGCCGACACGTCGCGACCGAAGGGCCATCTCGCCTCAGCGACCGGACAGATGAGGGTGCTCTCACGAGAGGCCTCTAGTCACCGAATGTGCTCCCTGGTCAACAACCAAGGCTCACATCCACCGCGGCTTCGTTGGTTTGCCTGAGGGATCGTGTCGAAGGACCACAATCCAGCTCTCAGGGTCGTTCTTTCTTCTGGGACACCAGTTCTGTCGCAGCTGTCCAGAGGGTTTCACGGAGGATCGGGAAGCGCATGAAGCTCGCAGCGGAGGAGGGGAGAGAGATCGAGAAGGAAGATGGCGGAACGACTTGCGCGGATCATCGGCACGGAGGAGGACAGGTGGGTGAGAATGGGGAAGCAGAGAGATGCGCGCGAGAGAGATCTGCGTGCATCTGGGTGCATCTATGTGACTCGTGCGTTGGTTCTGCTTGCTGTCTTTGTGCCGTGTCTGTGTGTGTGTGTGTGTGTGTTGGGTGCAGGGTGAACTGTCCGTTCTACTGGAAGATTGGCGCGTGTCGGCATGGGGATCAGTGCTCAAGGGCACACTACAAACCGACCGCAAGTAAGTCAATCAAGTCAATCAAGTCAATCAAGGCAATGGGGGGGGAAGGCACACGACGCTGGGGTGGGAGGGAGAGCACGTGAGCACTGCCGCCGGTGCTGTTTGATATTATGTGTATTGTCTGTGTCCACAGGCCAGACACTGGTGCTGCGACACATGTATCAGAACCCACCTGTGGCACTCGCCATTGCCGAAGGTGTGTGGGTGTGGGTGTGGGTGTGATGGCCACACAGAGAGAGGTGCATTTCTCTCCCTCTCTCGCTCTCCTCTCTGTCCGTGTGTGTGTGGGTGTGTGTGTGTGTGGGTGTGTGCAGGTCAGCAGGTGACTGATGATTTGGCAGACCAGGCACAAGACCACTTTGAGGCGTTCTATGAGGAGGTAGGCACATTACACGTCAGTGGGGATGCATGGCAGCCGAATCAAATGTGTTCTTGGTGTCTGCGTCCATGTCCATGCCATGTGGGTGCCATGCCAACAGGTGTTCGCTGAGCTGGCCAACTACGGAGAGATCGAAGAGATGACGGTCTGCGACAATATCGGTGGGTCGGTGCAGACCATGAGGCACTGACGGATGTGTGTTCATGTGGTTGGCGTGTTCATGTGGTTGGTGTGTGTGTGTGTGTGCAGGCGATCACATGATTGGCAACGTGTACATCAAGTACGTCAACGAGGACGATGCCGACAAGGCACTCAAGGGCCTCACTGGCAGATTCTACGCAGGTACGCTGGCCCCAACACTCATCGACGTAATTAATTTGACATTGCGTCTGTGTGGTGTGCAGGCAAGGCAATCACCGCTGAGTTTTGCCCCGTCACCGATTTCAGGGAGGCGCGGTGCAGACAGTTCGTCGAAGGGCAATGCACTCGTACACACACACACGCACACACACACACAGAGAGAGAGAGAGAGAGTTAGAGTTACTGCCATCCATCCATCTCGCTACGTGTGTGCGTGTAGGTGGCGGGTACTGCAACTTCATGCACACCAAGCACGTGCCGCGTTCCCTTAAGCGGAAGCTCTTCAAGCAGATGTACGAGGACCACCCCGACTACAGAAAACCAGCCGACACACGGGACAGCAGAGACAACAGGGACAACAACAGGGACAGGGAGGCACCCCAGCAGAGATCCAGGTGAAGAACCTCAAACAGAGTCTCTGTCTGCACCGAGGACGTCCATTCATGCATCAGTGTGTGGTGTGGTGTGATGCAGGTCCCGCGAGCGCTACCGGGACCGAGATCGCGACAGAGACCGCCGCGACGACAGGCGAGGCGGCTACAATGACAGCAGGGGGTACCGGGACAGCAGGGGAGGCGGCGACAGGTACAACCGAGACCGACAGAACGGCGACACGTACCGCGAGAAATCATCGCAGGAGCGACGCGCCATGGTCGAACAGGTGCGCTCCTACCGACCAACCCACACCCACACAGCCACACACGATCGTGTGTGTGTCACATTACATTGCGTGTGTGTGCAGTGGAATCGCGAGAGAGAGGGCGGTGTTGGTGGTGGTGGTGGTGCGACAGAGGATGACTACCGCGCCAGGGCCAGGCAGACCAGCGAGGAGCGACGCGCAATGGTCGCCAAGGTGAGTAGGCCAAGCCACACCGAATCCCATGTGTGATTTGTGTGCACATGACTGGATGGATGGATGGATGCAGTGGAATCGCGAGCGGGACGAGGTCACCGTCAAGCATGAGGACGGCGTCAACGGCACACGCTGAGGAGATGACGCCTGCCCTGCATGCTTTGGGGGGTAGGGCAGGGCAGGGTAGGGGGGGATTTCAACTCAACTCACTCGAGTGCTCTCTCACTTGTGTCCATGCATGTGGGGTGCGTCAGTGACTGATGCACCTCGTCGTGCACCTGATTGAATGAGTAGTAGACATTGATCTCGACGTCGTCTCTCTGTGGTGTGGTGTGGCGCGTTGCTATCGAGCGAGAATCGGCAACGTTACCCCCGCCGATGGGTCGACATTTGGCGAGAGTGACGTTGCCGAGTCTCCCTTGACAGCAGCGCCCACAGACAGACAGATGGTGCAGGCTGCCTGAGACAGTGAGTGCATCATGGATCCATCTCTCATACGGGTATGTGTCACACGCCGCCCCAACGCTGCATGCCTCGTTCGGCGGTCATCGGCCAACGAGGCAGCGTTTGGATTCGTCGACTGACACAGGGCTCGATGGCGAGTAGGCTGACCGTCCTGCTCAGACAGCCACTGACTTCATGGACAGTGCAATGCCGTGTCATACGAACGATGGATGATTATACCCCATCTCCTTGTTAATTAACGTACTGATGCGGTGCCTGACGCGAGACACGAGGTCCCTCCCTCCTCATCACAATCGACACGCTGCGAAGCCGTGTTTTGGCCTAGATAGACTTCCCCATCGCAGAGCATCATGGTCAAGCGGCCGGCCCGGCGGCAGCGGCTGCCCCGCAGGCAGCCCGAAAGAACCTCGAGGAAATAGCGGGGCAGTCGTCGCCTTTAATGCGGTTGGAGACGGTCCTCTTCCACTTGAAGGAGAGAGGCCAGGATGTCGACAGGGCGAGGGCCGAGGGCATCCACGCCGAGTGCCATAAGGAGGTCAAGCGCAGGCTGGGCGGGTTGCTCGTCTGTCTGTCTGTCTGTGTGTGTCTCGTGTTGTGTTGTGTTGTGCCATGAATGGATGGATGGACGCATTCAGGATTGGTGTACGAGTTGACAGGGGGGGCGAGAGGGGAGGGGTGAGGGACCCATGTCTGCTGCCTTGAGTGCGGCGCGTGGCTGGCTGGCTGACTGGCTGACTGGCTGGCTGTGAGTGAGTGGGGCTGTAGGTATCATTTCACAGGGAGAGAGAGGTGCATACGCAGTACGTGGCGCAGTGGCGTGTGTAGTGAGTGTACGTATGGTAGAGGACAATGGCTGAGACATCTGATGAGACAGGCGCATACAGTACATGTTTTGTCCCACTCATTTCGTTCAAGATCAAGCAAAGGCAGGCCAGGCCTGTCTCTCTCACTCTCGGGATCGTTGCAGGGATTGTCTGTCCGTGGCTCATCCATCACCTATGCACTCAGTCCTCTCAGTCTGTCATGCTCTGGCTCCTCCTGATGGGTTTCGCCGCCTTCTTCTTCGCTCTCTTCCTCGGCTTGTAGCTCAGCCAGAGGTCGGCGCGCTGCTGCCGGATCATGTCTTGCGGGACGGTGGTGTCGTCGTTCAGGGTCTTGAATCCTTTGAAGAAGGCGTCGTCTCTTTTGAGCATCAGGTCGATGTCGTCGGGCATGAAGCGGTTGTCCTTCTTGTGGATCTTTTCCTTGATTTGGCGGATGGTGTCGGATGGCACGACCTTCAAAAGGATTGGCTGCTTCTCGTCGAGGGTGTGGACGTGTAACTCTATCTCTTCTGCACATACACAGACAGACGGACAACAGGGCTGAGGGGTCTCAGTGTCTGTCTCGCCGAAGGGCTCACCTTTCTTTGGTGGTTTTGTCTGCTTGGGTGCCCCCTCTGACTTAAGGACAAGTTGGAGAATGTCGCCGTCCTTGACATCGCTCTCAGCCATGGTCCCCTCGTCTCCAAGCTTCTGCCCGTTCTTGAAGAGGTCCCAGGACGCAGCGGGATATCGGTGGTCCACCGACTCGATGCCTTGCTTGACCTGGATGATCTTGACCGTGTTGTCGATGTCAAATGTGTATTGCTTGCCTGTGTATGTGTGTGGTGTGTGTGTAGAGGCAGACAGACAGGTGAGTGAGTGAGTACGGACGGCACTGCGTATGTGGAACACCTACCTTCAGGGTCATTGACAGTGATGCCTATCTTCGCGGCGGCCGGAGTCTCTGACTTAAGGACAAGTTGGAGAGTGTCGCCGTCCCTGACACCGCTCTCAGCCATGGTCGCCTCGTCTGGAAGCCGCTGCCCGTCCTTGAGGAGGTCCACGGACGAAGCGGGATATCGGTCGTCCTCTAACACGTGTTGCTTGACTCGGATGATCTTGACCTTTTTGGGGAGGTCAAATGTGTATTGCTTGCCTGTGTATGTGTGTGGTGTGTGTAGAGGCAGACAGGCAGGTGAGTGACTACGGACAACACTGCGTATGTGGAACACCTACCTTCAGGGTCATTGACAGTGAAGGCCACAGTCGCAGGCTCCTCTGCGTCTTCTTCGCTGGCCTCCGATTCCTCATCGGATACCTCCTCCGACGACTCGGTGTCCTCGGACTCCGTGTCTTCGTCGTCCTCCGCACCCGGGCTGCAACCAGGCAAGCAAGCCACAGAGAGAGAGAGAGAGAGGCAGACAGACAGCGCACAATGAGGTGTACTTGGTCTTTCTCCTTTGTGTATACGTCGTGTTTGTACGCTTGTATGGGTGATGGCGGTCCCATGGGTGCCGGCGGCGGCCCCATGGGTGGCGTCAAACGTGGCTTTGGGGTCGGAGGCACAACCTCGACGGTGGGTTGCGCCACCTTAGTGGGCACCGGCTGCTTGGGTGTCGTGACGGGCGCTTTCTCGGGAGTAGCTTTGGCCTTCTTCGCCTTCTTCTCGCTGGTGCGACGCCGCGCCTTTTCTTCTGCTTCTTTTCCCCTGAGAGAGCATCACAGGACAATGCTCTTGTCTGTCTGAACATTTTCTTCTCACCGGTGGCCAAGTGTCTCTGTTGGCACTTCCCAGGCCACCCCTCCCGGGCGCCTCTTCTCGCCGGGCACCTTCTCCGCCTTCTTCATTTTCATCTGCTTCTTCTTCCGCTCCTTCTCCTGTTGCTCCTCGGCCGCGAGTCTGGCCATTCTGGCAGTAAACGATTCGTATTCGGGCTCCGGTGGCGGCTGGTGAGGCGAGGTCACAGGGGGAAGCCGTGGCTGGGTCATCGGCTGGCGCACCGGGTGGATTGGGGGCAGGTTTGGCTGACTGTGATAATACCCATATGGTTGCTCCGGTGGCGGCTGGTAGGGCGCGGTCATAGGGCGAGGGTGAATGGGCGGCAGGTTTGGCTGACTGTGATACGCATAATACCCATATGGTTGCTCCGATGGCGGCTGGTGGGGCGAGGTCACAGGGGGAAGCCGTGGCTGGGTCACCGGCTGGCGCACCGGGTGGACGGGGGGCAGGTTTGGCTGATGATACCCATAAGGTTGTGCCACCGGTTGTGCCTCCTGCTGGTGCCTCATCCTTTCACGCCTTCCCCGCTCGCCACGCTCCCGTGCCGCCTCCGCCGGGTACTCGGCCTCCTGTTCGTGTCGCTTCTTTTTCTTTTTGTCTTTGCCGGGCTGCCACTCAGTCGTTCGGGTTTCTGCGTCCCCGCTCCTGCCGGGACGCTCAGCGGCACCCTCGGCCATTGCAAGAGCGAAATTCGCGCCCTCATGTCGCCGTTCGACGCGGTCGTGGATGCGTGTCTCGTTGATTGTGCGGCAATCGTGGTCGGCAGAGGCCGGCGCCAGCGAGGCGCTGAGGAGCAACAGGAGAACGACGGAAGCGAGCATGGCACTGAGACGCTCAGGCCCCCCGAGACGCCCCCAGATGCGAGCTCTAAACCACTGACGTGAAACCGTTGACTGCCGTGAGATCTCTCGGTCAGGGCAGATAGCGGCGCGGCGTATCCACCCACGTGTGCGCGTGTATCTGTGCACACCTATCGCAAGGCTTTTTTCGTTGAAACGCCCCGCTCTCTCTACTGTAACGTCCCGATAGCCAGCCGGCGGTGACTGCCTGAGTGAGAGAGGAAGGCCAGGCAGGAAGGAGGTTTTGATTGTCTGCTGCCCTCCTGCAGCTAGGGAGAATAGCCGAGTGGCAGCCCGTGGGCGGCCCCCCCTCTCTCTTTCACACTCCGCCTGTCTGTTGGTGTGCACGTTTATCGCATTGCGCTCATCGCTGCCTATATATCGCATCTCCGTGTAGATTGAGTGCTGTGCTGCGCCTGATTGAGTAAGTGAGTGAGTGTTGTGTGTGTGCCAAGAGCATGAGAGTGATGCTGCTGGGTGCCGTGTGCGTGTTGACCTCGTTGGCGGCGCTGTGTGAGGCCAAAGCTGCTGCTGATAGACAACTCCAGGTACGCCAGTCCCTCACGCACCGACACACCCATCCTTGGTGGATCTGTATCCTCGCTGCATCTCTCTCTCTCTCTCCGCGTGTGTGTGGGCGTGTGTGTGTGTGTGTGTGTGTTCAGAGAGGCACTTCCTGCACCATGGCCTGTCCATCGTTCTACATGAATGACAACGTCTGCGACCGACAGGTACGGTGTCGCGGGGGGACGGGCCCGTCGTGCACTCTCGCTCCGTGTGTGTGTGTGTGTGTGTCAGTGTGCCGTCAATGGTTGTGCGGAGGACACTGCTGACTGCGGTAAGCAGCTGATATAGAACAACGCTCAAAGAGGTCGACTGCCCTGCACACGTGACGTGCACACGTCTGTCTGTCTACCTGTGTATCTGGGCATGTGGGTGTAGGCGTGGACGGTGAGAGTGGTGACTGTCCCGATGGCTCCTTTTTCAACCCCCAGCTTTTTCAGTGCAGGGACTCCCCGAAGGCACGCTCACCCCACCCCACCCTCACACACACAAAGCTTGTGTGGTGAGCGACACGCATACCGTGTGTGTGGCGTGTGGTGCGTGTGTGCAGGTCCGACAGCAAGGGAAGACCTGCAGGATGCTGACCTGGGCGGCCAACAGGAAGGGCATGGGGTGCACCGTCAGGCTCACCGACCTCGCCAGGGCCTACCGCCGTGGAGTGCCCGCGGAGGTTCATGCCTGCACCCGCCTCATGGACGTGTGTGCGGCCAGCTGCAATGCCTGCTCTCGCCGCCTGCTGCTGTCCATGAGTGGCGGAGACGATGACAACACGGGTACGTACGTCGATAGCTCTCTCTGCATACAATCCAATGTGTGTATGTGTGTGTGTGTGTGTGTATGTGGTGTGGTGTGGCGTGCTGCAGGTCTGGCGGCTGACGTGGATGTGGACCTCAGCTGGGCCGACTTCGCCGATGAGGGCTTTGGGGAGGAGTAGCCGCCTCGGCAGGGCAGAGAGCAGCATGACGCACCCACCCACACCACCAGTGAGTTTGTGAATGATTACATTTGTGTGCGTATGGATAAATGGATGGATGTGTACCATTGGAGCTAGCGACGTATACAGAATAGTTCATCGGTTGCCGGTCTGTCTGCCCGTCTGTCTGTCTGTCTGCCCGTCGGTCTGCCTCTGCAGTTACCACGCACTGCGTCGTGCCATTAGGCAGCCGTGCGCGTGTGTGTAGGGGCGGATCCGTGTATGGCTGTGCGTGGTGTGTGTAAGGGGCGTGCGAATCGAATTAGCTGTCTGTCCGTCGTCTTGGGGGCGGGAGGGAGGGAGGGGTGGGGGGGGGAAGTGTATAGCGAGGGCGTCACGGTCTGTGATCGGTCCATCGATGTGTGTGTCTGCCTCTCTGTCTCTCTGTCTGTGTGGTCGTTTTTCTTTCCCTGCGATTGATTGCGAGGGTTCATTACCCTGATCACTCACTCACTCCACTCACTCATCTGCTCTGCTTGCCCATTCACTGACGCCTTTTTGTGCCTCCCCGCCTGTATAGCCATCCGCCTCTCTGGTCACTTCCGTGTTGAACACACGCATACCCATGTGTGTATGTCTGCACAGGTGTACACACGTCAATCCGTCTGCTTCTGTCTGTCTGTATAGTCCCTCTGTCTAGGCTCCGTGCTCAACACGTCTACAGACAGACAGACAGACAGGTGTGTCTGTGTCTGTGTCCGTGTGTGCCTCCGCGGGTGAACCCACGCATGCCACTCATGCCTAGACAGGCCTTCTTGTCGGTCTGTGCGCGTTGAAGACACACGCGTCTGTCTGTCTGTGTGTCTGTCTGTCTGTCTGTCTGTGTCTGTGTGTCTGTCCATCTGTATATCTGTACATCTGTGTATGTGGATAAATGGGTGTGTGGGTGTGTGGATGTGTCGATATCTGGCTCGGCTCGGCTTGGGTGTGCAGAAGATGCCGAATAGGCATAGCTAGATGTCCAGACAGACATGACACGTGCGACAGACACTCTCTACTCTCTTCTACCACTCCCCCGCTCCCTCCCTCCCCCCTACGATTTTCAATGCGCGACGTGGTCAGTGAGAGAGAGTGTCTGGGTGTGTGTATGTGAGTCTTTTCATTCATCCGCCAGCCAGTGAAGATATCTATCTATATACACGCAGATAACACACACAGCTTACCTTGCAGCAGCATGAGGGCAACCATGCCTGCCTGCCTGCCTGCCTCCTGCGTGCGTGAGGGCCATCGTGTGATTGCGTGCGTACGTGTGGGCGAATGTATAGATGCGACTTGATGGATGGATGCGAGTGAAGTAAGTTTAGTGGTGCGGTCGGTGTGTGGAGTTAGTATACTGAGTGGCTTTTGACGCGTGTCTGTCTGTCTCACAAAATATGGATGTGTGGATACACGGATGGGCGCATGGGGCGAGGGAGGGAGGGACGGAGGGGGTGTGTGGATGTGCACATACATATGCGGGAGCGAGTGGCTTTTGGATGACTATATGCAGACGAGTACACAGCATCGATCGCAGCCGGGCGACATCGCAGGAGACGACTGTGACTTGAGTGGCGTGATTTGATGGATGGGGACGGAGAGGGAGTGGAGGGGGTGTTGTTCGTTTGGCTGGGTGTTGACAGACTGTTTCATGACGACCTGCGAGTCGTTAAGGCGGCCCACACAGATCTGTGCGCCGTCCTGACGTCTCCCAAGGCCTCCTGAAACACTCGCTGTCCGCCCTCCCATTCGGCGGCAAGCTAGGAGCAAGTATTCGGCTTACGGTACAGACGTGGGTCCATACCATGCACTGGACAGTCCGAATGATGGATGGCTCATTCACTCACATGACATGTATGGTGTCACCGCACTCCGGCATTCACAACGCACACCAGGCAGTCTCACTTATCAATCCACACACCCAGCCAGTCGCCCCTGCCCCCCCCAACCCCAACACTTCTCTATTCCTCCACGTACTCGGCCAGCACCTTGGCGGCCTCCTCGTTCCACTTGGCCTCGCTCCTGAGCCGCTGCAGCAGGCCGCCCGGCACCTTCTTGGCCGGGAAGCGCGTCCGCATGCGCGTGGCCAGCATGGAGGGGCGGTTGTTGTCCAGCGCCCAGAAGAGCCCCTCGTGCTCTTTGGGGATGGGCCCCCACCCCTCCCTCCTGCGCTTGGCCTCCCGCCGGATGTCCTCTTGCCGAGCGTTGCGCTCCTTGTCCTTCACTAAGCCGTTGAACAACTCGTAGATGCCCGGCTCGGAGGAGCTGGGCTGCTGCTGCTGCTTCTTGCCGCCGCGCTTCTTGGGGTTGTCCATCTTGGCGGGGTCGTGTTTGGGGTCGAACGGCGCCGTCAGCTTGCCCCGCGTGTGCAGCTTCTGCGTGTGGACAACAGCACAATCCAAACAGACGTGCGCGTGAGCATCCTCAGTGTCAGTGCAGAGGCCTACATTGATCTTAGCCAGGCGTCTGGTGTGTCCCGTGCGGCTCAAGGCCGCCACTATCAGCCGGTAGAAGGACGGATGGCAGGTCGGCGACTGCCCGAATGCTCGGCCGCGCCCCTTCTCCTTGAACACATCGCTGGCGTACTCGGGGTGGGTGAGGTGCGTGCTCCACAGGTCATGGTGGTCGCGGCCTATCTGCCCCGCGATGAGGGGGCTGCAGCTGCTGAAGTTGACCAACGATACGCTATCTGCACACACACACACCCCATCTCCATCCATCCATCCATGAGGAATGCATTCATCGACACGACAAAGGCAGAAGTTGTTGTGTGGAATGCATCCACCCACACATGTTACCGAGGAACGGTGCGATGTCTTTCTTGAGGCCGCCTTCGGCGTATTCGGCAAGGAAGGCCTCCATCGGTGCTACGGAATCGGAATATCACGGCAATTGTATCACGGTGCCGGATATCCCCCTCCGCGAAACATAACCTCAACCGTTGAACCTCTGGTGCATCTTGCCAGTGCACACTTAGCCATCGCATCGCCATGTTTGCCCGCCCTCTTAACCAACGACTACCGCCTCCCAGGACCGACCTCGGCACTTCCCGAACCCTCAGCAGAGTTCGAAGCAGGCCATCCAGCGACGTCCCCATTGCAAATGGCGGCGAGAAGAGCGTCGTCGTGCGCGTCAAGCCCCTGGATGATGACGACCACCAGTCCGCATGCATCACGGTGCCTGACGGCGAGTGCAAGGACTCGCTGCTCTGCCAGCGAGGGACGCTGATCCAGGAGTATCGGTTCAGCCGCGTCTTCGGGCCGTGGGAGGACAACCTGTTGGTGTTTGATCAGCTCAACTGCACTGACAAGATCGCTGGCCTCTTCCACGGGTACAGGGAGACCGTCATGGCCTATGGGCAGACGGGGAGCGGCAAGACGCACACCATCTTCGGCACGGACAACGAGCTGGGGCTCCTGCAGTACTTCATCCAGTCGCTCTTCGACAAGAAGGCCGAGGAGGAGCAGAAGGCAGAGACGTGGAGGCGGCGCGTTCGTCTGTGTTGCTTTGAGATATATGGCGACACGCTGACGGACCTGATCCCCCCGGTGCACGACGACGAAGGGGTGGAGGTGTCCCGCGGCGAATTCTACCTCAAGACCAGCCGCTTCCCTTACCAGGTGGTGAGCGTGAACTCGCCGTATGCCGCTCTCGACATGCTCGAGGACGCGTGTGTGAAGCGCAAGGTGGGGCTGTCGAGCCTGAATGTGCGGTCCAGCAGATCGCACGCTATAGTCCAGCTGTTCGTCGAGACATACTTGCAGGTTGGCAGGGGGGGAGGGAGGGAGGGAGGGAGTTGAGGAGTGGGGAGTGTGTCTCTGATGCATCAGGACAAGTCGGTGTTGTTGGGTTGTTTGACGCTGGTGGATCTGGCTGGCAGTGAGAAGGAGTACGAGAACCCGACAGCAGAGGGGCGGTCGAGCGCTCGTGTCCTCAACAACTCACTCTCATCGCTCAACCGCCTCCTCAGAAAGATGCAGGCAGGCAGGCAGACAGACAGGCAGGGACAAAGGAGAGACCGGCGAGTGCGTCCATTAGACGGTGGCGTGTGTCGTTGTGTGTGGACAGGAGGGCAGTTTGAAGGAGTCCGACCGACGGCAGAGCGTGCTTACGCGTGTGTTGTATGACTTTCTGCAGAAGGATACCGGCCTGTGTATGGTCTTCTGCCTCAACGCCGGACTGCAGCAGAGAGCGGTGGGTACACACGCCCACACCCACACCCACACCCACCCACACACACACACACACTCACCCATACTGTCCCTCTGTGTGTCTAGGCGTCCCTGTCGACTCTAGCTATGGCGTCAGACTCCCGGCTGATCCAGCACACGAGGCGGCAGCAGTACATCCATATCGATCGCACCCTCATCCGCCTCAACACCAACAACAGAGCCGCAGCTCTGCGACCATTCCCCTACCAGCCGAGACCAGACACACACGTACACACATGAGTGGGTCTCCCGCCCATGCACTCGTGGACACGTGTGTACCTGTCCATTGTGCAGGCTGTTCCCGACCTGTCGATGCTGCCACCGAGCCGGCGATCGTCATCGCAGCCACCGGGGGCACGGCCAGTGGTAGGATGACGGATACTACACACACAACTGCACAGGCAGATGTGGATATAATATGTCTCTCACACATTTCAGGCCGTCCGCAGGGCGTGCAACGGCGCCCCTGCTGCTGCTGCTGCTGCTGCAGTAGAGGAGCCGCTCGATCAGCAGCAGCAGCAAGAGCAGCAGCAAGAGGCGAAGGATGCTTTGCTGAGGGAGTACCAGCGGCGTGTGGAGGAGGCGGAGAGCCGCGCCGAGTGGCTGCACCGGGGCAGTGTCAAGTACCTGCAGACAGTGCAGAACAAGTACGAAAAGAGGGAAGAGCGGCTCAAAAGACTCATCGAGGAAAAGGAGCACGGCCAAAGGGTAAATCCGGACCGCTCAATGACACACAGACGGAAGAAAAGCCGTTCATGCGTCAATTCTGCTCTCAGGTGTTGGAGGACGAGAATGCCACCCTCCGATCGCAGCTGAGCGGGCCTCCCTCCCAAGCCCCCTCCAGACACCCAGGCTCTTCCCCTCTCTTGACCATTCCACCGCCGTCATCACTCTGCCAGCACCCCATGGTCCCCCCACCGCCCCCTCCTCACTCTCTGGACGGCCCACAGCCGCCACCGCAGGAAAGGAGGCCTCGCGAGCGAAGACTCACGCCGAGTGAGCACCGTAGTGAGTCTCTCTGTGTCAGATGCATGTGGTGTGTATCCGTCCTTTCATGGGTGTATGCAGCAGCAAGTGACAACGAGGGCGTGGAGGTGGGCGAGTCCCGCACGGCCACACCCACGCCCACCCCGTCCACAGCCGATGGGGCTGGTGTGGGCGTGTCCGGAGGCCCGCATGACGTGCAGGCGCAGTTGGACTTCTGGCGCAGAAGGGCGCAGATTTTTGAGGAGGAGCTGCACACACGGACGGCAGTGCTCCGACAGGTGGGTCGGTGGGCGGGGAGGGGGCGATTGATGCACGAGCTCGTGCGGGATGGTGGTCTGTTTGTGTGTGCGTGTGCCTTTGCAGCTTCAGTCCACTGTGGGGATGCTGGGGTGCGGCGTGGGGGCGGGGGTGGGGATGGGGCTGGGCAGGCGTGTGAGGGACAACGTCATATCGTTCGACGAGTCGCTCGAGGAAATACGCAGACAGATCGACAGGGTGCACGAATTGATCAACCAGCCGCACGTCGGCGCCAGTCACATGATGTTTGTCGTTTGCAGGAGCGGATTGAGATGTCTGCGGATCTGCAGCGGTTCTCCCTGTCTGCCATAAGAGACCTCAAGCTGCAGATGGAACACCAGCTCAGGACCATCAGGTGACCGAGCACTGAGCGGTAGCAGAGACAAAAGAGACAGCCACAGCGGCATCCCATTGGCCTTCTCTCCATGTGCACGCAGTGACGCGATGCAGTCTCTGCACGACCAGGCGACCCACCTGCTGCCCACCTCCCAGCCCCCAACCACCCCCTCATCCTCACCATGCGCCCGCTCCCTCGCTTCGTCCAAATCACAGTCCTTCATCGCCACCGTTAAGAGGCGGCCCCTCGGCGGCAGTGCGCTCGACATGGTGCCCTTCAAGCTCCACGAGCAGCCACAGGAGCAGCAGGAGGAGGATGGTGCTGGTGGGGGGGACGAGGCGGTGGTTGGGGGCGTGCCGTCTGTGTGCGAGCTGGTGGATCTGGGCAAGACCGTGGGAAGCGAGATGGCCACTCCCAGGGAGGGCAGGGACGACCATTCCCCTGATGCAGCCCCTCCCCCATATGCTGCGCCGGTAGCTGTTTCCCCGTCCTCATTTGATGGCGTTGAAGGGGAGAGCAGCCGCGAAGCGCTCACAGAGGCCGTCAGGCAGAGAGTAGAGGGCATCGGAACAGAAGACGACACACGACTGCCGGTGAGTGAGAGAGAGGGAGGGAGACATGACGACTACTCAGGTCTGACAAGCTTGTGTGTCATTCCTCAGACACTGGCGTGTTCCAAAGCTGGTGTTGGGGGGCTGTCAGATACTACTAATGAGGCGGCCCCACTGTGCGTTAAGGAGAGGCCGTCGAGGCGCGAGTCGGTGCGGTCAGTGTCCAACGACAGGTCGGTAGCTAGGGGGAGACGGAATACACACATATGCAGCCACACCCACCCATTCTCTCTCTCACTCGTGCAGCGAGATATCATTCCTATCGTCGGCTTGATCCCCCGACGCCCATCCAAACTACACCGACAACCCCCCAAACGGGGGAGACGTGATAGCACCAGATGCTGATGCCGCCAACTCTGCTGCTGCTGCTGCTGCTGGAGGGGGTGGTCAGCAGCAGCAGATGGGGTCAATGAGGGGTGCGTCGGTGGTCAACTAACGGGTGCTGTCGTGGTCGTGTCGGTGCTGTGTCTGTCTGCGTGTTTGTTGACTGACAGTGAGTGCGTGGGTGGTGCGTGAATGACGGACCGACCAGTTTTGGTGGCGTGTTGATATATATGCGAATATATACACACACAGGGATGGTCATGTGGCACGACTGACTCATTCAATGGATCGGATGTCGGTACGTACGGACACTCAGCCCTAATCGCATCAGACAGACATTTGCGTGGTATTTTAAGGGTGATTCATATATGGGTATTTTCACCACACGCAATGACACACACACACAGAGCATAGGCTTAGCCTCTGGTCCCTGTCGTCGGCGTCTCTTGCACGTGACGATCCCCACGTGAAATGCCTGAGTGCCGCGTCTCAGCAGCAACCGGGCAGTCAGAAGGGCATCATGACGCTCAAGAGATGCTAACAAGGGGAACTACTGTGTGTCTGGCTTTGACACACACTCGCACATTCACACACGTGCTCAAAATCGAGGACGGAAGGCATGCAGCACCAAAAACAACACTCAATAGCCGACACTCGGCACGTACACGCCATTGTACGCCGCAAGATCGCCATCTCTCCACTCCCCGATACTCATCAGATTCGTCAGCGAGACCGTCCGCATGCCCCTGTCCAGGAGGGTTCTCGCCAGCTTGGGGTAGTCGACGGGCAGCAAAAAGGACGGCGGGCCGGCAGTGGGCGGGATCAGGTGGTCGTTCTCGCGTGGCGGCATCTCCTTGGCCCACTCGTCGCACACGCGCGTCACCAGCTCGACGAAGTGATCCTCGGTCAGCGCACACGAGTGGGTGAAGAAATACAGCTGGCCAGTGTAGGCAACTGAGTCAAAGCAAAGCAAGCAGAGAGAGAGAAGAACAGAGAGAGGTATGCGCTCATTCCATCAGTCGACACGTACGGATATACCCATTTTGCCGGATCCTTTGTCGGTCAGCACGTAGGCCTTAGCGGGGTGGCCCTCCATCTGGTGCTCGAAGGCCTCCCTTATCTGGTTGTCCCGCCTCTCGCCAGTCACCCGGTGGTACAGTTCGGCCGCCTCTCCTGCGTCGTCGCCCGTGGCCTGCCGCAGCGTGTATGCGGGGGATAGGGCGGATGGCGACGGTGCAGAAGACGACAGGCACCACCCCCGGAGATGGAGGCACTGCTTGCGGCAGATGAAGCCCATGCGTGTGTAGAGGGAGAAGCTTTGCACGTTGGAGGCCAGCTGCTGCAGCCGGATCGAAGGCGCGCCTGTATTGCATTAATGCAATGGTGGTCGTTTCTGCTTCTGATCTGCCTCACCCTCACCCTCACCCGCACCCTGACCCACCTCTGCTGTTGGCCCAGTCGATGACGGTCTCCATGAGTGCCCGACCGACGCCATTCTTCTGCAGCCCAGGAAGCACAAAGACAGGCCTGCACACACACAGCCCACAGACGTGGCACCAAGCCATCGCTTCTCCCTTCTCCCTCACCCACCCGATGCTGGCCACAGACTCATCCACATGCTCCACCCCGTTGCCGCCAACCAGCTCGCCGCTTTCGTCATCCACCGCCACGAAGAACGCCTTGCTGTCGCTCTTCATGAGTGAATGAAAAAAATGCTCGATGTCTGCGGGTGAGTTGAACTCGGGCGGCAGGGCCACACTGGCGCAGAGGGTGTTGAATGCATCACAGCAGATGGACGCTGCCTTGGGAATGTCTTCCTCCACCCCTAGGCGGATGGAGACCGATGAGCTGGGCATGGACGTGCCACTGGGTCTGAAAGGCATCTGTGCAGATCTGACGGGAAACGCGAAGGCGCTGCTCAGATATGTCACGGACGTCAAGCAGAGGATGATAAGCGCAGAGAGCATTCAATCGCTTTCCTTCGACCGATCTATCTCCACCTGCGAGCTTAGCTCACAAGGGAGGACAGATGGATGGAGGAGAGGCTTTCCGACATCTGCGCAGATCTGAATCTATCATGACGACGGATCCACCAAGACGGCGAATTCGGAGGTGGATGCGTCTGTCTGCGTGTGTGGCTCTGCTCGCCCTGTGTGTTCCGCTGCGGTGCGAGGCCATCACCAAGGACTTCGACACGCCGCAGACGACCAGTGACGCCTACATCCCGCTGGTCCAAGTGCCGCGGATGACCATGGTCAGTCAGTTGGCTCACACCGAATGCACACAAACAAAGAGAGCACGTGTCTGTCTGTTTGTTAGTCATGTGAGTGTCTGTGTGTCTGTGGGCGTGATTCATTCACAGGAGGACATCAGAATTCCGGCAGCTGAGAGTTTCGGCATAGCGGCGGGCGGCGTCATGACGGTGGAGCTGGAGCTGCACCAGCCCACGGATATCAACAACACCTTCTTCATGATTCTCACGTCGGAACAACTGGTCGGTCCGGCAGGCAGACAGACAGATAAATCACAGGGACGACTGTGCTGTGCTGTGCTGTGCTGTGCTGCGTGCTGTGGTCAGAGTCGCTTTCGCAGCTCGACGCCCCACGTGTTGCCGTCGTTCACGTCGCCAGAGGCACGGGTTGTCAACACCAACTTCATGGCCTACTGGGTGAGTGGAGTGAGAGGGCCACCAAGCCGCCCAACACGCCATACAAACACTTGTCTGGCTGTCCATCTCATCTTTCATCCCTCAGCGTCAGCCGCTGATGTCCAAGATATCGATGACGAAGACGGTCGAATGGCTGGACCGCTACACCTTGATCATCGTCAACGGCGACGAGCAGGACCTTCGCTTCACGGGGAAGATCCGGCTGGTCAACCCCGGCAAGGACGACGAGCAGCACCTCAGCTTCGACCAGATACCCATGATGCCCGTGCTCCTCACCATGATCTGGGTCTATCTCATCAGGTCAGTCAGTTAGCCCGGTGTGAACACTCAGCTTGATGGAATGCCGACATCTTCTCTCCCTCCCTCCCTCCCTCTGTGTGCCTTGGTCGGTTGATCAGCACGGCGCTGCTGTTCCTGCTGTTGGTGACGGGCTGGCGGCGGCGGAAGACGGCCATCCACTGGATCATGCTGGCCACTTTGCTGTCCAAGAGCCTTTATCTCGTCTTCTACTGGCAAAACTTCGTGCTCTTCTCTTCTAAGGGGTCGCTCGAACGGTTTCAGAGGTGGGTGGGTGCGAAGGGCGGGGAGGGAGGCACATGGATGGCATGTGCGGTGTCGATGAGTGTGTGTATGTGTATGTGTGTGTGTGTGTGTGTGTGTGTTGTGGCTGGGTTTGATTTGTTGCAGGAAGATTCCGCGCATCGTTGGCAAGATGCAGGACATCATTTCTCTGATGATGTACCTGCTTGTGGCGCTCGGTAGGACGGCTGGCGCTCGTTGATGATATGCGTGTGTGTGTATCTATCTGTGTGTCGGGCTGTGGTGGGTGGGCAGGTTGGAAGATTCTTCGTTCGAATCTGAGCATGACCGAGGTCCGCTTCTCGGCTGGGATCTGTGTGATATCCTTTTACCTGGGGCTCTTCCAAGTGACCTGCCAGGGGCCAACTTGCAGCGGCTATGAGGTGGGTGTGGTCGGTGCACTCTGTCTGTCTGTCTGTCTGCCTATGGTGGGTCTCTATCTTTCGTCAGCTGTCGCGCTACATCCTGCATGCATTGGCTTACCTGTGCATCATCGTCGCCATCAACTTCAACATCGCCATGCTTAATGTGAGGAGGAAAGACAGACACACTGCAGATGTGGAGAAGGCAGGCCCGATGTGTGTCTGTCTGTCTGTGTATGTGGTGGTGCGCATCAGGGGTCGATCACCGAGTCTGCCGTCTCGCTGAGTACCGCAGAGCTGTACCAGAAGTTTGACGCATACAGGTGCCCATACACACACACACACAGAGAGAGAGAGAGAGAGCCCCTCTTCGCACCTCATTCTGCAGGTTATATCGGTGGGTGTTTGTGATCTACATCATGAAGCCGACCTTCCTCCTGTTCTTCAAAGTCGGCACTCACTCACACACAGAGAGGGGAGGGAGGGGAGCAAGGCTGGGCTGGGCATCTATCTCAACGTTCTGCGTTTGGGTGGGATGGGGTGTGGTGTGGTGTGTGCAGCTGTCCGTGTTAGATGCCAACGGGTGGGACGACTGGCTGTACCTCTTGATGCAAAACCTTGTCGAATTCGGCATCTACGCCACGGTGAGAGAGAGCAGGTCATCCATCCATCCATCCGTGACTGCGTCATGTGTCTCGTGTGTGTGTGTGTGTGTTGATGGCCATGTCGGTCATGTCATCGGTCAGATCATCTGGGCCTACAGGCCGTTCGAGCCGATGCGGGTCTTCAAGGTAGGCTGGGCAGACAGTCACGTCACAGCTGGCCGTCCACCGACACACACACACATGGATGTGGCGTGTCGTGTTCAGGATCTGCTCACAACAGAATCCTCAGAGGGAGACGAGGAAGAGGTCAGTCAGTCACGGCGACCACATACCGTGGGCTGGACTCATTGCGTGTGTGTGTCGTCATCAGGACGAGGAGGAGGAGCCCGAGGACGATGCCGACGCCCCCCTCCCCCCTCCCGCACCATCACAACCGAGCAGCAACAACGCGCCGGCGGCCGCCGCACTGCCGGCGTCACAATCAAGAAACCCCCAGAGCACCGACATCATCACGCCCGTGTGATGGCGCGTGTGCGTGGGGGAGGGGCGATGAGCGGATGTGTGTGTACTGTAGAGAGAGATATATATCTGGGAGACAGACAGACAGACACACTGGCTTTGTGTGCTGTGGATGTGTCGAGCTCGAGGTAGTTGATTGTACGCCCTTTATTCAGCTGACGGACAGACACAGAGACCCTTTTTCGGTGGTCATCTTATGTGTGCGTCCTGTACACTCATCCAACTTCCAGGCAGGGCACATCCGCCTGTCCCACTCACTCATCATGAAGGACAGCACACCGCAGCTTTTCGATGATATTCCCCGCACAGTGACATTGCTACCAACGATTGGCCGTTGACAATAACGTCCGACGTTCTGTCGCGGCGCAGATCTTCTCTTCGGTCCCCTCTCGCCATCTATCGCTCCGTGCATCTTTGTCGCCCCGTCTCCCCCCAAGGTCCCTCGACAGCCCTACCCGTCCATCCCCCTTCTCCTCCCAATCAACCATCATGGTGGTCCTCGAGCTGAGCGCCATCTTCTGCGCCGCCTCGTTCTGTGGGGCCTTCATCTGGCGACGGGAGAAGGCCCGCAGAGCTCTGGAGCGGCGCCTACAGCTCCTGGACAAGGTCGTCAACAAGGGCTTCATGATGGTGAGTGGGGGTGACTGCTGGGGTGTGAGAAGTCTGGGGCTTGCGTGTGATGCAGATGCGGCTGTCTGGCACCGAGACCGTGACCGACCTCCCCCGTTGCCGCGTGCTGACCGACCAAGCCATCCAACTGACGGTTGGTGGATGGTTCACACCATTCACACACGGGTCAATCATCTCTCTCTCTCTGTCCCTGCTCTCTGCTCTGCGTCCGTGTGTCTGTGTGCGCTCAGAAACAGATCGAAGCCCTCGGCTTCGTGAGGCTGCAAAGCACACACAACCCGGCGATCTCCGCACCCACCTGCATCACATTGGTGCGTGTGTCTTGTGTCTGTCTGTTCAGTTCTGCGACCAGGAGGAGCGGGCCTTGCACGAGAAGCTCAAACGAGTCGTGCAGGTGGGGTGGGTGCCTCTTGAGCTCGGAGGCCTTCACGCAGACACCACACTCATGTGTGTGTGCACAGGAGGTGGCCGATCTGCTGGTGGACGCGAGAGACGGTGGGGAGCCCCAGCTCATGACCCAAGTGGATGGAGAGGAGGGCCAAGACGTCCCTCTGGACTACACCTGGCCCGGGTTCTTAGCCGATGAGGACCCGGACGACAAGGCCATGTCGACATCCACACATTCGGCAAGCTCACCTGTACAAATCATGAGGAAGGAAGAACACACACACATGATTCTCTCCTGTCTGTTCGTGCAGACTGCATCCACCGCAGCATCTTCGTCAAGCACACTGCCCGCCCCTGAAGATGGCTGCGAGATCCTCTGCCAGGTGGACGGTGACACGGGCGAGCCCGTCACACTGGCATATGTGTGGGGTGGGTGAAGACAGCTCGTGAAGACCAGGAGGACATTTCTTGTGTGTGTTGTTCGAGCGATTTTGGCTTTCCTTGCCGGCTATTTGGCTTTTGGCCTTTGCTGGCTATTTGGCTTTGTCGTGTCCAATACGCTCGGCAACCTCTGTCTCTCTGTCTTTCTGGTGCTAGAGATCATGCATCTCAGTCTGGCAGTCCCAACAGACAAAATTCAATACGCACGACGGACAAACGCTCGATCAACGAATTGGCTGCAGCCATACTAATCGCCACAGAGCAAAAGACACACCCTAAATTAAAGCTAATTGCTGTAGCACCGGCCCACCACACACACCGAGCTCCTAAGTACTGAAGCGCCCCATCACACTCATTTACTAACCCACCCACCAGCAGCAGACAGATCTGCCCGTCCCCGCACACAGACATGAGCATATATATGTCACGCCTGCTGGTCTGCGGCCACCATGACGGCCGCGCCCTTGCCGCTGCCGTCGTCGGCTATCTGCAGATGGACCTTCTGGGCGTCCTCTCTGCCTACTATGTCGACGATGTGCTGACACGACCACCAGATCACACAGACAGATAGACAGACAGACACACAGCCACACGGCAGAGATGCATGCACATGTGGTAATCCCGTCAGCGATCTCTCCTGTGCGCCGAGCGGACCTGTTTCAGTCGATGCTGATACCTGTCGAAGGACACACACGGACGGAGAGAGAGAGAGAGAGAGAGGG